GTTTCTGTAAATATGAATGTGGCAGAATCTTACTGATCTCTTGTAAAGCCTTTATATTTTCTGTGGAATAAATTCCTGAGGTTATTATTGCCATTATATTAAGTGGTTGGGACCTTTTTTGCTCCCAAGTGCTTTTCAAGTGTAGGCAGAGTCTCAGTGAATAAATAACACATCACTGGGAGCAGTCTGACTGTGAGTGACCCTTCCTGGCCAGCCTTGTCCTTGCAAAAGGCTCAGCTGTCCTTGCTGCTTGCTGTCCCCTCTTCTCCTTCCCAGCAGCACTTCAAGACACATTACAGCCTGTGCTTGAGGGCCTCTAAAAAAACAACAAAAAACAACCACAAATCCAAAACCCCACAAACCCCAAACCCTGTTTTTTGGGGTGAATACCTCTTTTCTCCTGTAGCACAGGTCAGTGTGACACAGAGCCACCACCCCTAGCTCAAGCCTGGTGGGGACAAGGGCAGAGGGGCAGATTCCTGGCTGGATTGAGCAGCTCAGAAGTGGCTCTGGGAGCTGCAGTGCCCAAACCCCGGCCCCTGGCTGCTGGCACAGCACTGGCTTCATCAGGAGCAGCTGTGGGTGCAGTGTCCCTGGGGATGCTCCAGCCCTGAGAGCTGCCAGCTCCAGCTCTGCTCCATGGGATCCATGTTGTCAACCCTTTGCATCCATGTGCAAATCCTGGGAAGCAACTGGAGCTGGCACAGGCAGAGATTGTACCAGCACAGTTCTACATACTCTGTTCAGTGAGCAGCCCAGCCCAAGCTGGGCTCAAGGCATTGCCAGGACCTGTGAGCCCTTGTGCAAGAGCAGCAGAGCTGTCCTAAAATCTGCCAAGCCCAGCTCTGTTCCCCTGCTCTGGAACTGAGCAGGAATACGCCCCCATCCCCCCAGCCAGAGAGGGGATTGGGAATGCTCTGTTAGAAGGCTGATGGACACCCCTGAGCTTCACCAGTCCTGGCCTCAGACACCCTCACAGCCCAGGAGAACACAGCCAACACAACCTGGAATTTCTGGTGAAAACTGGTGCAGATCCCAGTGGAGCCCAAGGCTCTTTTCTATGTGTGGGTGGCCCAGGACCATGGGGACACAGAGTTGGTCTCTGCTGATCTGCCAGCTCCTGAAATTACCCAGATCAGGAGCACTCATGGGTGCTGCCTGCAGGAGCTCACCCAGCTGAGCTGCTGTGGGGCTGCGGGGATAAGCAGGGTGATGGAAGTTCCTTTGATGGAAGTTTCATGGGGGAGGCAGAGCTATTGCCAGAAATTTTCCCAGCTAGTTTGCAGGAGCAGCAAGGAGGCTGCTCATCTCCTCTCTGGACTTCTCCACATTTGGGAAACAACCCTGCTGCTGGAACTCAACCCCCCTCCACTTGCAGCTGCTGGCCCTGGGGAGCAGCTCTTCCACAGGCCAGCCCGGTTCCTGGCAGCAAGGGACAGGTCCTTCACAGATCCCTCTGCTGCTCCCGAAGGGCTTCAGGAAGTCATTAAAAGAAGGGAAAGTCTCAATCATCCCGGAGAAAGCAAAGGGGCATTACCTGCAGGCAGGGCTCCTGGGATCCAGCAGCAGGGCTGGCGGGCACTGCCACACTCTTGCCGTGGGAAACAGCTTGTGCCTCTCTCCCTCCCGTTGTTTTTATTTTGGCAATACAGTCTGAAGGTCGAAGAAAAAGTCCGAAGGAGTGGCTTGTGGCAGGCAGTAAATTATTACCCTGGGCCGTTCTCTGAGGGCAGCAAGGCACAGGGAGCTGGGGTGGGAGAGGAAAATCCCTCCTTGGGGGGATTAGAGGGCAGCTCGCTGGCAGGGAGGTGCAAAGGGTCAGAACAAAGTGCTCTGTTTGCCGGAGGCTGTGCTGGGTCACATGCCGGCTCCCAGCAGAGGTAATGGGGCATGGGTCACCTCCCAAACTCCAGCAAGACCTCCTGGCTGTGGACATGACCTGTTCCCAATCCCCCAGCAACCCACAGACCTTGCCAGCCAGGAAGGAGCTGGGTGAGATGGAGTCTTGCCCTCTGGCAGCACTGAGCGGCAAGAAATCCAGAGATTTTTACGTGCCTGATCTCTGCAGGTGTGACAGTCCTTCAACCTTCCTTCTGTCCCCTGTGTGTGCCCCACTCTGTGGCTCCTGGGCCACTCAGATGGAAGATCCATCTGAGAATCCAAGGAGGACCTGTGGGCACATCAGAACTGAGCCCAGAGGAGCACTCTTAGAGCCAAAATCTACTGCCCTCCATGCTCTCCCCAATTTGCTCCATTCCTCTCACTTTTCCTCTGCAGGAGCCCAGGACCAGTGGTCACACATCCCTCTGTGGGAGCCCAAAAAGAGTCTGACAGGTGAGTGTGTTGGTGGTGTCACTGGTGGAGCCTCCAGCTCTTCACCTGAAACACAAACTCCAAAAATGTACAAAATCAGTTGATGGAGAGCATTAATGCCACTGTCAAAATAAGCGTTTTCTGAAATAGCCTGGAAGATGTGATATGGAGTATCCAAAGTTCATGAGGCTGAGATATCCAGCTGCCACCACAGGTATGGTCTCTGGCTCTATGTGTGAGGGGGAGGCAGAGCCATAGCTGCCCTCTGCACACAGGGAGGAGTGGGCTCAGCCCTCACCTCACTGCAGCTCCCACCGACGGTCCCATTGGGTGGCACAACTGTGTGGATGCATGAGGGCAACAGAGATTTGGTATTACCCTCATGTCTCAGGAAACGAGCCCAAATAGAGGTCCCCATTGTGTTTGAGGAACTGTAAAGACATAGAGAGAAATAAATCCGTTCCCTGGTAGTGCAGAGAGGCCTTTGTTTGTCTGGTTTTCGGAGTGAGAAGGTTTAGAGGATTGTTGCAGCGCATGACCAGAAACTACAAAGCACAGACAAAAGCCAGTGGGAACACAGATCAGACTTTGACATCGCACTGGGTTTTCAGCAGATTTCTGCTTTGTTCCAGTGAAACCTGCTGCTATTTTGGGTGCTCTTTTCCTCTCTCCACTGCGTCCCTTGCTGTCGGGGCTGCACAATTCCCACCGCAGCGGGCGCACCAAAGCTGTCACAGGCACCGGCACAGCACCGAAATGTCTGCTGCGACGGCCTGGAGGGGCTGCCCGTGTTCCGAGCCCAAGGCACGAGTGTTGCACTGACAGAGGACAAAACCCCTGCTTATGGCAGGGCTTGCAGAGCCCGCTGGTTTCGCAAGCGCGGCAGCCGCCAGTGAGCGCCGGCTCCCGGCAGCGGCACGGAGGGAAGCGCCGGGGCCGAGCTGACAGCGAGACAAAGCCTTTGGGGCTCGCTGGGGAACCTCTGGCTTCGCCACAGCGGCCAAGGGCAGCGAGGCACACGCTGAGGTGCCCTGTCCCCCCCGGGAGCCACCCCGCCTGCTGCTGCCTGCAGGCAGGAGCTTGGGGAGCTCGGGGGTTTGAGGTGCCTTGCAGGGGCTGAGGGAAGCCTCTGGTCACGCTTCTCTGTTCTTCACCCTGAGGGATAGGAGAGAGCATCCCTGAGCTTGCCCTCACTGTCAAAAAAAGGGCACAAATCTTCTTACAGCCCCAAGTACAGCAGGGGCCGCTTCTGCTCGCAAGGAGAAGAGGGGGAAAGTGCAAAATTAAACCTTCATAAAACGGTTTCCATTATTGTGCACTCTGAACCAGAGCACTTTTGTCCCCTGTAAAACACAAAGACCAGGACACGTTAGTCTGTGAGCATCCTGTGTCCAGGCTCAAGCAGCTGCCCACAGGAGAGGAGAGCCAGCTGCCATGCGGCTGCGGCATGGCATGGCACGGCACGGCACTGCATGGCATGGCATGGCATGGCAGGGGTCCCTTTGCTTCTCTGGTGGGGAACACAGAGACAGAAACATGCCGAAAGCACCGAGTGCAAACCAGAGATTTGCAGAGCCCTGTATTAACCTGCCAGGCAGCCTGTGCTCTTCACTTATTCCCAGGATCCGAGGGGTTATCCAGCCCTGCTCAGGGCAGGAAGACAACGGGCTGGATCTCCTCCCACGCTGGGCTCTTATCATCGCCCTGGGGAGATGGAACAGAGAGTTCAGAGGGGAAGCAGGAGCAGCGAACACACCTGAAGAGAAGCCCCCTGTCCGGGCTGGCTCCCCTCATCTCGGGCGGGTGGATGCGGTGGCTCCGGGCCGGGCCCGTCCCGTCTCCCGGCTGGGGATGGATGCGGTGGCTCCGGGCCGGGCCGATCCCCTCTCCCGGTCATGGATGGATGCGGTGGCTCCGGGCCGGGCACAGCCCCTCTCCCGGTCATGGATGGATGCTGTGGCTCCGGGCTCCGCGCCGTCGGGCGAGGGCGCTCCGTGGCCGTGGCGGCTCCGGGCCGGCCGCGGGCGGGGAGCGCACGGGGCGGGGGCGGATCGGGCTGTCGGTGCCTGCGGGTCACCTGCACCGGGGTGATGAGGATGAAAGTGGTGAGGATGGAGGTGGGGGTGAGCATGAAGATGATGGGGATGAGCTTGAGAATGGGGTAGGACGCTGCTGGATATCCCCAGGCAAGGGGGCCAGCATGGAGGGAAATGTGGCTAATCTGGGGACGCCACACTCACCGACCCCCGGCGTCACACCACCCTGCCCCACACGGCACAGACCCCACAGCTCCCCTGTTCTTTTCTTCCGGAGGCTGCCCAGAAAATCGCTCGAAATGCGTTTTTCCCCGGGCAGGGACATCCCCCTCTCCCGCCCGCAGCCCCTTTCCCAGCTGGTGCCAACACCTCCCTCCCGCCCCCGGTACCGCATTGCGGAGCTGCCCGCCAGCCCCGCACCGGACCGGACCGGGCGGGGGACATTTGGGGACATCCCAGCCCTACCGGGGCTCGACGTGTTTTGGGGGCAGTAGTAGGAGTCCCACGGGGACCTCAGCTGTGCCTGTGCTGCGGGAGCGCTGCCGGTGGGTCCCCCCATCCTCATCCTCGCTGTGTAGCGGCAGCCGATGGACAACTAGTTGTCGTGGCTTCTAAAATTGTGTAAATCGAGGTGGTTTCGGTCACAGGATTGGAGTGTGGGGCTGACCTCCCCCGCGGTGGCGGCTTTGCCCGCAGCGGGGATCAGCCCGACGCTCCACACCCGTGGGCAGGGTTTGGCGAGTATGGATCAAGCCAGGGGTACACCCAGCCTTTTATTTCGTTTATTTCTCCCCCTTTGTTCGTGAGGGGATTTTTTTTCCCTCTTCTTTCACAAGAACAAAAACACCGGGGTGCATCTGCAAACTCCCGTGCCTGGAGTCCGAGCACTACGGGGGAAAGCAAAACTGTGAGGAGGGGCAGCCCCATCACCCCCAGCTGTAAGACGACCTCTTCCCAAGAAATGTCTCCTACCTCTTGCAAACAGCTGAATGCCACCTTCTCTAGAAACCCGGCACCGCCTTCCCTTAGCCCGAGGATGTGTTGTAGCTCCCACACGGGGAGGATGAACCTCCTCTGCCCCTGCCCTGCTCCTCCAAGCCCCCCACGAACCAGGCCAGCCTCATGTCTATGTTTTCTCTTTATTATTCCATATATTTATGTACCACATTATATGTTAAAGATAATTTTTTTTTCTGATATACATTTTTCATCTTATTTACCACAATGACACCACACGTACATTGGAAACAGCTCCACGGATCTGGTAGATTGCACAGAATGAATTGTGTCGTAGTTTTGTTCCTGTAATCCTGAACGACATCAAATCCAACCATATATATTTTTTTTTTTAGCTTTTCATAATTTAGAAATAACAATTATTAAAACGAAACGAAACATAAGTCACCGAGAAGTGGACTCCAGGGCTACGATTTCAACCAGAGGCAACACATTTGTATTTGTATTTGATGGGAAGCGCCGTTCCTCGGTGTGGATTCGGATGGAAGAATCGAGCAGTCCTGACATCGATGTGACTGCGGTGTAAACATTGCAGGTAAGCGGCATCACCGGTCGTCAGACGCTGCTTGGGCTTGTTGGGCCGGTCGTACAATCTGGGTCTCGTCTACATCCATCTCTCAAAGCGTTAAAACAAAAGTCCCTGCTCCCGGCGCCCACGGCGGGTTTGCTTCCCAACCCCGTGGGATCGGCAGCCGTGTTTCAGCTCCTGAAACACTGATTTGCATATCTGTGAGGAGTGTTGAAAACTTCCACTGTTTCCCAACAGGCCGTTTGTGGGGGGCCAAGCTTCAGGCAACGAGTGAGGAGATAGGGGTGGGGCATCAGATAATTTCCTTCCAAAAAAATCTAAATAACAAAAAAATATATTTTAATCTGAGCTTGTTTAAAAAGACATCAGGGCGAGCACTTTCATCTCTTCTTATTTTCCTTAGTTTGCAGATTCTATGACATAGAATTTGTTGGATGCATGTAACGAAAATAATGACTCTTTCCATTAAAGGGATGCAGAATTATTTGGCTATGCGGATGTTCGATGCGATTCTCTTCCTGCACCCGACTCTGGTCCCTCCTTAGTCTTCAGCATTGGTTCTGAAAGCCTCTATGAGGCCTTCTAAAGAGTGGATGAACCCAGAGATGCTGCAGATACCACCTATAACGAAAATGGCAACATCGAAGAAGACATGATGCCACAAGAGCTTCCTCCACAAGAGTTTGAGGTGGAAGAGACTGGGGAGCAGGAAACAGAGCCCTGCGCCTGTGAGGCTCCCAGTAAGACCCATCAGGAGGGCAAAATGGGGGACATAAATAGCCATGAGCAGGGTGAAAACTACCAGGGCACATCTGAGGGTGAGTCCCCAGGATTTGAGCCGCCCGTCACCCCCATAGCAGTTGGGGAAGAAAGCCCTGTTTCCATCTTGGAAAAGGGATCGCTCCAGGACTTCTACAGCTGCAAAGAACGGCAAGGGGTACGAGAGCAAGGCTTTGGCCACCAAGAAAATATTGACTACTGCCCTAATGGTGGATGGCAAGTTGTCTGTAATGACCTCCTTGGTCTCATCAGCCCAGGTCAGGTAGGCGACCAAGGCAAAGAGTCCCTTAAGGATGCAAGCTGCTATGTGAGTCCAGTTCATCATGCAGTGAAACTCCTTGGGGTTCTGCATGTTCCCCTCCAAGGAAGGCAGAAAGATCTGGGAGGTGTAGCTGAAGACAATGATGCCAATGGAGATGGGAAACTTCTTGACATCAATGTAAAACTTGACTTTGTCCCAGGCCCAGTCGCGCGCCCTGGAGAGGCAGTAGGCGATCACCAGGATGTTGATGACAAAGTGGGCTAATGTGCAGAGCAAGCTGAACTTGGAGACTGCCTTGAGGTTCTTCAAGAACGCACAAGGCAGGAGCACTGCCGTGGCAATGATGGACCACGACTTCTGGGAGACGGGCAGGTTGGGGAAGCTGTTGTACATCAGGTTCCCACTGACCACCACATAGAGGATGCAGGTCATGACCAGTTCAATGATCTGAGCCACGTTGACAATTCTGCCCCCGAGGGTGGGGAAGCGGGGCGCGCAGCACGCGTTCGCAATGTCCACGTAGGAGTCTCTCACCCTGACTATCTCCCCATCCTCATTCTCTTCGTAAAGACAGGCAATAAGGATTTTCCCAGTGTAGCAGCAAACCACTGCAGCGAAAATTATTAAAAAGAGTCCTAGGTATCCACCGTGAAGGATGGCATAGGGCAGGCCCAGAACAAACATCCCCTAGAAAGAGACAAAATGGAAACCGTGTTGCTGGATCTCTGAGGGGCCCGGGCCCACGCCCGCAGCCGAGCACACGCAGCCGCACCACGGCGGTCACGTGTGAGCTCTCTGCCTGCCCACGCACCACGGCACCCACGCAGGCGGTCACACAGTGCCGGTGACGCACCCCTGTGTCCCTGTGACGTGACACCCCCACAGTCACACCCACGTCATCGCACCCCCGAGCACCCACGACAGGCCAGCAAGGTTCGGGTGCCCGGGCTTTGCTCCAGTCTCTGCCCTCTCTGTCCCCTCTCAGTGCACCAAGACCTCCATAGCTGGGGACATCCCAAGGAGCCAGACTGGGCTCACACCAGTGCAGCCCCACCACCAGCCCAGTCACCCCCAGGCCCCCTGTCTCTCCTTGCCCGTGATCCCTGGTGGGGTCAGAATCTGCGGTGTCACTGGGCTGGGGCCTGGGTCCCCCCATAGCACTGTGTCCGGCTCAGGGGTGGGGAGCGGGGCGGCAAAGCAGAAAACTGAGCTGAGGGGTTTTACTTTCCCTTTTTTTAAAATTTGATTTTCCTTTTCATTCCTTCCTCACGCCCTATTATTCACCTCTATCTTTCACCTATTTTTATTTCTGTTTTTTCCCCCCTTTTTTTTCCCTTTTCCCCCTTTTCCTCGAAGCCGGTTTGCAATCAGCCCGCGGCTTCTGGCCGAGATACAGAGCACGTAACAGGACCGGGATGGGGAGCGCTGCCCGGTGCCCCGCGGCGGCGGCGGCCGTACCTGGATGGCGTTGGTGACGTTCCATCCCGCCTCCCATGCCGTGATCTTGGGCTTGCCCTGCCCGGAGAGCTCGGAGCAGACCTCCTTAGAGGCGGAGGGCGGCAGGGGCCCTGTGCCGTCCCGCTGGTAGTGGATGTCCCCCTCCAGGGGCGGCTCCCCGCCCTCCTCGCTGCCCTCGGACTTGAGGATGTCCATCTGCAGCCCTTGCCGGTGCTCCATGTCCAGGTCGTCGCAGTGGGCGAAGCCCACCGCCTCCTCGTCGGTGGCCGCCTGGAAGCCCATCCTGGCGAACATGCCGCTCATCTTCGCCTGGGATTTGTGCGACACCGAGGTGGCCACGTTGGAGAGCTTGCTGCGGAGGAGGGTGGCCATGGCGGCGGCTCCGGTGACTCCGCTGCTCGCGGACCCTCGGGGATGCGGAGACCCGACGGGGCGGGCGGGCGGCGGGGCGCTGGACGGGGCTCGGTCTCCCGGCGAGGGGCGGCTGCGGGGAGCTGCTCCGAGCCGCTACCTGCGTGTCCCGGCGCAGTGCGGGCGGCTCCCGGCCGGGGTGCCCAGGGGCATGACACCGCTGCGGGGGGAGCGGGCCCGCACCCCGCCGCCCGCTCCGCGCTGCTCCGCGCCGCTCCGCCGAGCCCCGCGGCGGGATCGGGGGGCGAGTCGGGTGGGCTGGGGGCTGTCAGCAGCCGGAGGATGTCACCAGACGGGCAGAGCGAGCCCCTGGCAGAGCGCGCCGCGTCTCCATCGCAGTGCGCCCACCTCGCGGAGAGAAGAGGAGAGGGGAGAGAATTGCTGCATTTCTGGGGGAGGTACCAGCCTCCCCGGCCAAGCCCAGCCCCCCGCACTCCCCCCCGCCCCACCCACGCCCGCCGGGCCCCGCCAGCAGCGCCGCAGCCCGGGACCCCCCACCCCCCCATCCCAACCCGCCCGGCTCCGCATCCCTTGCGCTGCCCGCCCTGCCCCGCACCTGCCCCGCACCCGCCCGCAGACCCCCGGCCGCCAGCCCCTTCCCCTCGGAGAAACAAAAGAGCTCCTCTGAAGAGGCAGATAGGCGGCTTTCGACAGGATCTTAACGGGATTTTCCTCCTCGCACCCAATTCTTTTTCTTTTCTCTGTCCCCCCAAACGCGCGGGCCCTTGGGAGGCGGGGGGCGGCCGGGCAGCGGCCCCTGCCCAGGGGACACAGCGGTGCGAGGCCACCCGCGCCCCGGCAGCGGGGGCTCAGCTCTCTGTAACGATTCCCGGCATCAGTGAGCTCCAAAACCTGCGGGACCGGGGCCGCAGATCTGGGCTGGGGCCCGCAGCCGGGTGGCACCGCACCGGCACCGCGGCGGTCCCGCCCGGCCGCGGGGGCACCGGCACCGGGGGATGCTCCGTGCGGGGCTCTCGGTCCTCACCAGCCAGCACTGAGGTTCTCCTTTCTTTAAACAAAATACTGATATTTTCCCTTTGCTTCCAAGCGCTTATGTTCGTTTGTAAATTAAAAGCCTTACGATTTTTAATTAATTTTAATTTTTTTTTTTTTTTCCCGAGGTGAGCGGCCAACATAGCTGCAAACGGCAATGGGAAATCCCGGTCCTGTGGCACAGACAAGTGGAGAGTGGCAGGGGGAGCGATGGCATTCGGGGGCGGTGTGTGGGAAAGCACGTCCCCTCTGCGGCGGCAGAGCCTTTGAATCGTTGTTTAAAAAAATATATTTATATATATGTATGTATGTATGTTCTTTGAAAGGTGGGGGAAGGGAGGAATTTCTGTTTCCTTTGCTGTTTTGGAAGACAAAAAAAGAACATTGTTTTACTACAGTTCAGAGGAAAAGCCACCACTAAATTATTTCCTAGTATCGTTGTTGAGGGAGTAGGGAGGGAGCGCCCAGGCTGCGGTTGCAGGTGGGATGCAGTACTGAGCAGAGATGGGGAAAAAAACCCCAATTCCTAGGTAAAAAACCCTTAAATCCCCTCCTTAAAAACCTTTTAATTTTTTCCCCAGCCACAATCCAAAAGCAAATAGGGTGCAAAGAGGGTGAAGGGCGCAAAAAAACCGGAATAAAGCTAAATTTCCACGGTGAGGGCTGTGCCCCTGAGGGGTCTCTCAGCCGCTGCTCCCGGCGCGGGGATGAGCGAGCTGCTTCTACAGCAGGCCCCCCAAAAAAATTATTTTTTTTTGATGGCAGCGGAGGAGGAGGGCGACTGAGCGTGGCGCATCCTTGGCTTTGCGTGGGAATTATTCCATGTGAGTGCACAGATAGGTCGCGAAAGCCGAGCGGGGCACGGCTTCGCCCCGGGTTCAGCAGCGTCTTGACGGGCCGGGATTTAAGGGGCGAAATTGAAAATCTCGGGGCCGTCAGCGCTGCCCTCGGCTGCCGCAGCCGCCGTTTCGCCTCCTCACAGCCCAGAGAAATGAGTGTTACGACGGACACCGTGAGGGATTAATCCAACGATTTCTTTTTCTTTTTTATTAATATTATTTTTTTTAATTCATCCTAAGACGAGTTCGTTATGAAAGAAGGCGTGAAGGAGCTCTGTTTCTGGAGGCTGCAGGGGGCATCAGGGAAGAAGGAACGAAAATGTATCCAAACCTCTGTCTGGTGCGTGATTTTTTTCCTCAAATAGCCCTGGCGCATCCGTGCCCCCGCCCCGGCACCCCTGAACCCCTGGGAGACCCAAAATGGTCCCACCGGGCATCACGCCGCACCCCCGGGCAGCAGCCCTCGATGTCGGGGAGTGGAGTGGTTCCACTGGGAGCCACCCAGCTGACCTTTAAGGTCCCTTCCAACCCAAGCCTTTCTGTGCTCACGCCAAGGGTGGAGGCAATGGGCTTTTGGCTCTTCGTTGAGCATCCAGAATGTCATGGATGTGTCGGGCTCGGGAGACATCTCTTAGAGAAAAAAAAAAAAAAAATCCTAACCAAAATAAATAATAATATTTAAATAAATAATGAACAACAAACAAAAAGGGAACAAAAAACTGAAGCCGACAGAAAACCAACCAAACAAGCAAAAAATACCAAAACAAAACCAGGAAAACAAAACCTAGCAAAATTCCCCCAAAACAACCAAGGAAAGGAAGGGAAAAAAAAATCCACAGAGAGCTTGAAAATACGTCCAAGATCTCGGGGCCGGTGCGGAGAGAATGCCCCGGGGCAGGGCTGCCTCTCAAGTGCCGTGGGACCCTCCGTCCCTTTCCTCCGGCCGGGGATGCGCTGGGGTCGGGGGTCTCTTTTCCCAGTGCTGTGCCCCCTCCTTGCCGGGGGACCCCTCAAACTGAGAGCCCGCAGGGCGCCGGGGGCTGCTGAGCCTCGTCGGACCCCGAGGTCAGTGAGAAGCTGGGGGGATGCTGAGGAGGGCAGGGCTCCGAGGGGTACAGGAGCGGGGGTACAGCCGCGGTGCCCCCCGGTTTTAGCGCCCCGGAGCCGCCCCGCACCCCGGCTGGGAACACCCACCCACCCGGGGTCCCTCTGCCTCCGGGACACCGGCTCGCTCCTGCCCCCTTTCCAGGAGAGGGAGATGAAGATTTTCTGTTGCATGAGCTGGAAAAATAAAAATACTTTTCCCCCCTCTCCCCCCAGAACTACTACCGGCGGCTGAATTCGGGTAGAAAGCACAAAAAAATAGGAGCGGGGGCGGAGGGGCGGGGAAGGGCTACGGGACGCAGAAAGAGGGAGAGGAAGAGAGGAAAACCCGGAGAGGTGGAGAGGAGGGTCGGGGCATTTACCTCCGCTTCTCTCTCCATCGCTGCCCGCAGCGCAGCGGGGAAGGCTGGAGGGGCGGATGGACAGACAGACGGACGGACGGACGGACGGACGGACGGACAGACGGACGGACGGACGGATGGAAGCAGCCGCGTCACTCCCGGGCTCTCCCTAACTCCCAATTAACCCAAGCAGGATAACGGTGCCAAACCTTATCCAAAGGTTAGCGGCTCTCGGGGGGGCGTTTGAGCTGCAGATCGTTCCAGCCGAGGCTGAAAGGCAGAGCGAGCCCGCCAAGAGCCGCAGCCAGCGCTGAAGCCGGGGGGCTCTGGCACTCTCTGCTTTCTCTGAGCCGCTCCCCGGGGCGGGCTGAGGGTCTCCTGTACCCTCCCCAGCAGCCCTGGGGGTGTGCAGCCCTGCTCCTGCGGGGAGCAGCTCGTCCACACCTCACCATCCTCTCCAGGCACATCCAAGCCGGAGGAGCGACTCTGCCTTATCTCTGCAGACCAGGCTTGCGAGGCTTGTGGCTGGGTCTTCTGATTATTAAACTGAGGGAAAAGAGCAATTTGTGCTCAAGAATCATTTAAAGCAAGCCAGAAGTCCAGTCCTGGGTGTGTTGTCTTTCTAAATCCCTCACCACCAGCCCCTCTCCAGGCTGGGCAGCACAGAGCGGTGCCAGTTGCACGGAGGTGCAGATATTTGGGAGCAGGATGGCCATCACTCCAAATTCACTGCTCAGTCAGGCTCCCAACTGCAAAGGATTTGGTTCTCATGGGCTCTGGGGGCTGCGAGCTGCTACAAACACACTAGACTGCAAATTGTGCCCATATGAAAAAGGGGGTGTGCAAATCCTGAATGTTCACTTTCATCCTCCCCTGTAGCACTCAGGAAAAGAGTGAGTGTCCAAATGCAGGTGTGCAAGCCCCTGATTCCTGCTCAGACTCCTGGCCTGTGCCACCATCTTTTCCCACACCCCTCTAACCTGCTGCAGAGCACCTCCAGCTGCAGAGACAGGAAGGCTGAGGGCCACCTTCTGCCCAAACAGCCCAGAAAATTCCATGGTCACATCTGCCTGAAGAACAGAACCTTACAGGTCAGCCCAGGCCTTCCTGGAGCAGCAGCCACCCCTCTGCACAGGTACGTGTGCACCTGGAGAGGTGATCCCAGGACATGGAAGCTGTTCCCTTTTCCTGCAGCCGTGTCCAAAAGCAGTTCCTGTGTTTCTGGCCGGGCCGGTGCAGCCCTGCAGCCCCAGCAATGCACAAGAGAGGCTGCACAGCTGTGCCCTTCATCCCGGCTCTGCCTCCTCATCCCCGCTCTGACAGGATAATGAAGAGTTGCACGATATCCTCTAAAAAGGCAATTAGATAAACTGCTGGATTGGGAGCAGCTCCCTGACCTAGTTAACAGCTCTGGGAATTTCGGGTAGGGAAGGAGAAGGTGTCGGAGTCAGGATGTGGTGCGTGGTGTGAGGGATTTGGGGGCTGTGGCCTGCAGCTCAGGCTGCTGGAATGTCCCAAGCCTTGGCTGCTCCCTCCTGAGCGTGTTCAGAGCCCGCCAGCAGCAAAAGGCACAAAGTGAAAACTCTGCATGTAGAATCACACAAGCTGCTGCTGGGTTTGTGCTCTGGCTGGTCCACAGTCCGCTGCTCCAGACAAAGACAGCAGCAGCCACGCTGGCAGATACTCTGCAGTAAAATAACCATCACAGAGGGAAATCCAAAGGCAGGGTCTCCAGGAGAAAGCCCGCAGTGGATGTCCCCTCTTGATTTCATTTTTTTTTACTGAACACACAAAATGGCTGCCTAAATTGCAGACTCATTAAAAAAAAAAAAAAAAAAAAAAAAAGACCACACATACTTAGGATTGGGAATATCAAAATTTTAGATTAATGTGTATTATGATAAAAAAATTTACTATATGTAAAAAAAGGGTTTCTTGATTTAACCTCACTATTTGCAAAATAAATACTTTTTCGTCTGTATTTTGAGATAAAATTTGTACATGAATTGCTGTGATTTCCATTTCCCAGAGGGAAGAGCCTTGATAAACCATTATCACATACAAACTAAAAAATTAATTTGCAATCTGAGCACCACACATTCCCAAAAACACTTACCGTAGGTTGGAATTAAATTTAACCCATTGTTTGTCTTTATGCTTCAAATCAAAATTAAGTGGTAGCCACTGGGTACCAAATTCCCAACTCACTACTCTGTAGTATTGTTCCCACGAGCCTAACAACATTTTCATTGACTTAATATATAAAGTTCCATCACTGTCAAATTAAATATTCATATATGTACACGCTCTTGTATTTCACAGGAAATGACAATGGACTAGGAAAGGAAGGTGCACACTTCATAGGTGCCCAGCTTTTTAATACCAACTTTCAAATAATAATCCCTTCTGCTGCACTTGTAGAGGCTGCAACAAACAGTGACTGGTCTGTACAGGAAAGTTCTCCCTGGGGTCAGATGATGCAGCATTGCAGACTTTTTATATAATCTATAATATATAATATGTAATATATATTTTTCTTTAATCTATATCTTTCTTTAATCTATATTTTTTTCTTTAATGCTGTTTTTTCTTCATTGTGTTTAATCTCTGCATGCTGTGGGAAGGGCCTCTCATGCAGAGGGCCGGCCAGCAGCCAGCTTGCCTTGGGGTGTTTCTTGTCAGGAGGGCTCAATCTCAGCCTGCTCCATCCCCCATCTGTCCATGTGCCTTCTCCTTTTTGTGTCCATTTTGGAGAAAAGCAGGTCAGCAACACACAGGCACTCATATTTCCTGCAAACATCTTCCAGCTCTATCCAAAAGCCAAGAGGAGCAATTTGGGAAGCCCTAAATCCTGCTTTGAGATGTTCCTGAGAGCTCAGCCAAGCCCAACAAGGCCAGGCAGCAGGCACAGGTTTGTGCATCTCCCTTTAACTCTCTCTCCGTGTTTTGGAGTGACAGAAACCAGGTTCACCTAAGCCAAGGACTGAAGCTACTGGCAAAATTGTATTTGGGTCTCTGAATCTGACTCCCACATCAATTTGTGGAGCCTCACACGTGCAGGGTGCTGTTTCCAGCAGCAGGATTTGGATGTGCAGCATCTGTGTGCAGATATCATTCCTTAGTCTGAGGATTTTTTTTCCTAGAGACAAAAAATAAACTCCATGTAAAGGATACAGTCAAAACCTGAGCCCAGAAATCAGCAGGTGAAGCTGCTGCTGCGACCAAAGGAAAGCCAAAGGGAAAGTGAGGTAATTAGAGCTTGATCCAAAGGAGAGCTCAGCCCACAGCAACACTTCCTGTGCTGCTGGAGAGGAGGAGACAGAGATCCTGACCTGCTGCCTGTGCCCCCGGCATGCCCGCTGCCAGCTGAGGGCATCCTGCTGCTCGTGGGCAAGGGCTGGATGCTGCACTCACCTTGGCTGCCTCTGCACTGCACTGCAGGCAGAGCCCTGCTTCCAACAAAGAAAGCCAAAAAAAAAAAAAAGAAAAAAAAGGGAAAACCTCATTTTGCAGGAAGGCTCCACACACATCATTCCCTTTCATCCCACACTGCCAGTGTGAGCAGTGCAGTGCACAGTGCTGGAAAACTCACTGCAGCACAGGGAGGGTGTGAGTGCCTGGCTGTCTGCAGCCAGAGGGACACTTGGCATGGGGCAGGACAGCCCTGTGGTGCTGCACTGGTGCAGGAAATGCAGTTACTGTGCACAGCACAGGCAATGGAGAGCCTGCCTGTTCCATACATGGCTCAGGAGGTCAGCTCATCTCAGTGTCTTTGTCTGCTGATGCAGGGGTGCCCATCATAACCCTCAGCACCTCACACTGCAGGCAGTGCTGACCCCAGAGCCACTCACAGGGACAGCACTCTGTAATTACAGCCTAATGCTACAGCCTGTAGCATTTCTACAGAGTTTCTCAAATACTCTGGCCTGAAAAGCTTTCCTGACAGCATTTCAGATTAGCAAAGCTGGGACAGGGTAATATTTGTGATATTTATTGTCCTCACAAGCAAGCAAGCAGTGGGTTTCTTGTCCAGAGGTGCCAGAGGAGTCCAGCCAGCCCTGGGGGTCTCAGCATCAGCCCCACAGGCAGAAGACCAGACCTTTGCAGAGGAGTCCTTCTTCTTTCATCTAAGATAAAATACAGAAAGAGAACAGGCACTAGGGCAGGACTGAAATTATCCTGCCAGAAGAAAACAAGGAGGGAACAGACCCTGAGCTAGAAACCACAGCTGCAGCAGAGGATGTATTTTTGGTGATGCAGCAGCACAGTGCCCAGCTGTACAGCTCACACTGACACACAGCATATATTTGAGCAAAACAGAAATTTCACCTGTTAGCACTGCAGCAAACCTCCCGTGGGGGTTTTGGCCCCTTCCTGGTGGGATGCTCTGATCCATAAGAGGCAGAAATGGCCCAGGACCAGGCCAGGTGCAGGCAGGGGGGTTCTCACCCGGCTCTGCTCTGCAGCCCGAGGGTCTCTGCTTCATGGGCATCACAGGCACAGATTCTGTGCCCTTCCATGAATTTAGCTTAAGCCTTTGAATTAAGAGATGAAGGAAAACGAGATTAAAAAATATTTGCAAATAAGCACTTTCTGGGCACTAAAGCAGCATTCCTGCCCTCTGCCTCCATCCTTGCAGAGCTGAGGGCAGCAGCACAGGGTGGTTGCTGGGGCTCAGAGGTGCTCATGGTACTGCACTGAGCACTCCAGGAGCCCAGCCCAGTGTGGTGCATCCCTCTGGGACTCCCTGCAGGTTATGGAGGGGCTTTACCCTCCTCTGCTGCTGCTTTTCCAGGGTTTGAGCCTTGCTGGGGAGCCTTGCTGTGCTGGTTTGCTGTTCCCCCACACCACTTTTCTCCTGGGAAAAGCTCCTAATACAGGGGACAGCTCCTAATAAAGAGGACAAGCTGTTGGTGAAGTGCATCACTGCATCCCATGGAGGAGTCCATGAGTGCACCAGCTGGGCTCACTCTTTGTGCCTCAGGAGCTTCCCAAACCCACTCAGGCACCTCTGCAGCTTTGTGTGGGGATCCAGGGATCTTCAGCAAGTAAAATAACCAATATTTTAACCACATTTATAGCTTTTCATCCATTTGTACCATGTTGTAGGCCTCTGTAAATGCATATCAGAATATTTATTTCACACAGGAGTGCTAATCAGTCTTTAAACTGAAACTCTGAACTTAGCAGCCTGTAATTCCAAAGTGTTACTATTAAAAAGATCATTCTCATAATAAACTTTTGGCATCACAACACTATTTGCTTTTAATAGAACAGTACTTCTTAAGCAATTCAGTTAATTTGATTTATGACAAAAAGAAATTTGGAGAATATAAAACCTCAGGAAGGGAACAGCAGGGAAGGCAGCTCTGTGATTACCTCCCCCTGCACACATGTAAACTGCAGATGAGGTAAATTAATAATGAGACTTGAAGTTACTTCTTCTTCACGTTAGAAAGTTGAGTGAGAGGAGACTGCCAGGCTGGAAAGGAGAGGGCTGTGCTGTCCCACAGCAGGACTGTGATTCAGGAACTCTCTTCCCACACTGAAACACCTCACCTTAGGACCAGGTATCCAACAAACGTTTGGTGGTGCATCAGGTAGCAGATCCTCAAGATTTGTTTCCTGAGGCTTGCAAATGTCACAGAACTCAGCAAGCTGAGCACAGCAGCCTCTCAGTGTGCCCAGGAGGAGCTGACATCCTTCCTGCC